AACACAGCCTTATATGAGTCTCACCATCCATTTCATCAAGGACTGGACCCTCCGCGCTCAGTGTCTACAGACCGTGTCTACAGACCAGACAGTGTACTTTCTTGAGGACCACACCGGAGTGATGCTCGCCCAAGGTATGAGCCTGACATTGCTATGCACTTTTGTTTGTTCGCTAGTTTTACTATTATTGGTTTTACTAATATGTTTACACCAATGAACTGTGTGCTTTTACAGCATACGCATGTTATTCCAAATTTCCCATTAGAGTTATCTCCATACACCTAAGAACGTATGTCTGTGGGTTTTCCCTACGTCGCCTCGTCAGCTGATTCTAGTCACGTGACTGACACAATTATTTATAGATATAGGAAAACAGCATCTGTGTTTTATGGCTATCCTATGTCAACTATAGCATAAAATGCAACATCAGTTGTGGTATATCGTGATATATATCGTTATCGTGATATAAAATAATCCATATCGTGATATAGTTTTTTTTTCCATATCGCCCAGGCCTAGGTTGCGGGTTAAATATCAACGGGTCGGGTCAGGTTCGGATTTGAATTGAAGATATCCGTGGGTGACGGGTCGGGTTCGGTAGTCATCCTAACGGGTTCGGCAAGTGCGGGTTGGTTAAACTCGACCCGTGCAGGACTCTAGCCTCCACTGTGGCTTCGTCTGCTCCGCTCTGAGTTCCTTGGAGATCGTAGAGAGCATGCGTGAGATGATTGAATTCAAAGCAGCAAAACATGCAGAAATGATCCAGGGTTTCCACAAATCATAAAAAAAATTACAATTCATTCGTTTTTTTTTTTTATTAATTTCATAAATTTTTATGGGATTTCGGTGTAACAATCAACATATGCCGAACCGAACCAAAAACCGTGACCATGAAACCGTGAACCGAACCGTGGATTTTGTGAACCATTCCACCCCTAGTCCTTAAGGTCTCTGAATAGGGTGTGTAACATTGGTTGGGCTGAAAATGGTATATTTGCTGTTCTATAATTCCTAATGCAAGCCTGGCTAAAAGCCCCAGAATTAAATGACAGGTTTTCTTCCTTTTATGGTATGCTCAGGAATATTTAGATGAGTGAAGCTGCTGAGCAAAGACGCATCATAGCAACAAGCACTCACTCACTGAAACATCAAATTGTTGATTGTTGTTGGTAGGGTGAGCAGACGTCCTCTTTTTCAAGATGTCCTACTTTTCATACCTAAAGAAATGTCCATGGGGAAGTTTAGAATCGCCTGGGATTTTTGTCGATTACAGTGCAGCATGTAGTCGAAACACACCAGGCACTAGAACCAAGCCGTCAGCTCCGGGGCTGCTCCGCCAACCCCGGCGGATGGGCGCAGGGAGCCAGCAGGGAACGGAGCGATCGAACACGACTCTGTGATGGTAGCCTCGACACCAGCGGCCCTGTGCTTCCCCCCTCCTGCCTTACTGGCCCCCAGCCCCCTCTCCTCTGGCTGAGGACGGGCAGCTCATGGCTCTCTGCTGGGTCGCTCTGCACTCTGACTGCAGACACAGGCTGTAGCTGCTGCATCCGAGTCCCTGTGTTTTGGAGGACGGAGGGGCTCGCTCACGCTATGCTGAAGACAAAAAATTCTATGTACGAAATAATCTATATGTTTTGTGAACAAAGTCTCCAACTAGACATGAAAAGGTCGTTAGATTTGTTACTTTTTGAGGAGAAAGTTGCTAGAGGGTCTGAAGAGTTGCTAAATATGACGACAAAGTTGCTAAGTTGGAAATAATGCAGAAGCAGCCTTGCTGTTCAACGGAATAAAAAATAACAAGTATAAAGTACAATCAAAAAAGGTTAAGAGGTTTTTTACACATGTAGAATAATACATTTAGGACATTTACAAAGAGATTGGGGAAATCTCTATGTGCAGTCATTTAATGTTAAAGACTGCATAAAGTCTTTTTAGGGCTGGGATGGTGTACTTTGCCCACAAGCATAGAGTTGGTGTCTTATTTCTAAAAGAAATAAGACACCAACTCTTTGACTGTAGCTCTGTAGGTGGCGGCAATACGCCTCAATTTGCCTTGCTGCCATTAAAGGAATAGTACACCCAAAACATGATTAGCCTTCATTTTCTACTCACCCCCATGCTGAACAACACTCTGGAGTACTTTTTTGATATCTCAAATGCATCTGGAGATCTGGGAGGCTTCTTGCTGTTTGCTGACATTCAAATAATGGAGGTCTATGGTGACCGAGACAGAAAGGTCCATAAAAGTCCACAAAAAACGTGTCAATATTCCTCCATACTGCTCGTCCAATGTATTCCAAGTGTCCTGAGTGGGTAGCATCCAGAATTTACCCGAAACGAAGTCATTTAGAATGTTTTTAGAGCATAAAAAGTAGTGTATAGGATTTTCTGAAAGCGCGTTCACGAGTCTACGGAAACCGCGGCAGACCAAACCAGATGAAAGTGCGCATTCAGCGTCTGCTCTGCCGATAATGCAAGCGTAGAAGAAGAAATGTGCTGTTTACCTGTGCAAAGAAAGAAACAACGAAAGAAAAATGTCTGAGGACTTCAGTGTTGAGGAAGAGCATGAGTTCTTTGCCGAGCTGAATGCGCACTTTCGTCTGGTTTGGTCTGCCGCAGTTTCCGTAGCGTCGTGAACGCGCTTTTAGGAAATCCTATACACTACTGTTTATGCTCTAAAAACATTCTAAATGACTTCGTTTCGAGTAAATTATAGACGCTACCCACTCAGGACATTTGGAATACATTGGACGAGCAGTATGGAGGAATATTGACACGTTTTTTGTGGACTTTTATGGACCTTTCTGCCTCAGGCGCCATAGACCTCCATTATTTGAATGTCAGCAGACAGCAAGAAGCCTCCCAGATCTCCAGATGCATTTGAGATATCAAAAAAGTACTCCAGAGTGTTGGTCAGCATGGGGGTGAGTAGAAAATGAAGGCTAATCATGTTTTGGGTGTACTATTCCTTTAAGAAGGTAAAGAGAGATGCAGATTGTGCACAGCTCTATGCAAGTGAGTTGAAGTAGGAACTTTTCTACACAACAGTAAGCTACTGACACAATAAACTTAAATGAAAGGAATGAAAGACCCGATTAAATTGTCTAGAGGCTCATAATTAATAAAAAGGACATTTTTCAAAGTTTAATTTCTTGGTTGCATTTTATTTATTTTTTTCAAATTTCCATTTCTTTCGTTTGACAACAATGGAGCTACATTCACTCTATATATGTTTGGCATGCAAACAACACTGCAAATTATTAAAAAAACACACTGTGTCCAATGCTGTTTGCAGCCCCATGGTATTCTTATTCTTCAGCTGATCTGCAAGCCGATAGATGGGAAAAGGGGAAGAAACAAGAAAAAAACAACATCGAAGCGTCCTGGGAACCAACCGTTCAATGCTGGAGATCAGAAATATGTACATTTGCTGCTGGATGCCGGAGCCTCAACCAATCAGGAAAGCTGTTCTAGGAGTGTTTGGGAGGGAGACCAACATGTCACATCTGCTTATGAAAAATAAATATTCAACTCCTAAGTTTTAAAAACTAGCGAGAGAATAGATTATGATGTACCATCAAAGCAGAGTGAGCTCTGATCATTATTACTCCTCTAAAACATTTGTGTTCTATGAACCATGGCAAAAAAAATTATTGATAACGAAATTAATTAAAGATGTTAAAACTTGTCGCCAAAAATATCTGATTTATGTTCTGGTACTTGCAATTTTTAACACAAACCTTAAAAACACTTTATATTAACTTGAAACCACTATAAACAGCAGCAGGAAATCCCTGAAAGAATTGCCGCTTTAGTCAGCTTTCACTGCGGATTCCCAGCGCTGCTGACCTCCCGCGGGTACGCTGCCGGTCTGGCACCCTGAACAAGAACTGAATATTTTAGTGGGATCAAAATCCTGATGAACTTTTAGCACCGATTATGTTCTGAGATGGACTTTGTCACTTAAAAACATGTTTAAACCATTTTTCCAACTTATCAAAGTAAATAAAGCAAAGCTGACCTCTCGGCTTGCCTGAAGAGATAGACAACCAGATGCATCACATTTCGTCAAATTTCAGCATCGAAGCATTTCTGACGGCCAGATTGCATTTGGTGTGAAAGCATCTTAACTTTTTAATTATTATTAAAACAAAACTCTTAAACTAACATGAAATAGTTCTAATGGATCAATCAGTTACAATTCCTGTACCAGAGCAGATTATCAAAATAACTTGACATTCACTATAGGGGCCATAACGGTGACCAAGGCCAAGTTTATGGGGCCGTGGCCCCTGATGGCCCCCATCTAGAACCACACAAGACTACAAATTGCATTGAAATGAAAATCATAGTATTTTATTTTCGTTTTTTGAATTCTGTAAGGCTTTGGGGGAGCAATGAAGACCAGTTTCAGTAACTCTTGGAGAACATGTGATCAGAGTTAACTCACAGTTCAAAGCAAACAGCTCTATAAACTCCATGTTTCCAGAACATTAAGTGCTCACAGGATGAGCCAAGACATTTAGTGTGAGAAGCTGAGAACAAACTCTAAGACAAATCAAGTAGACGAAGAAATACATTTTTAAAGCACTCCTTTGTAATGTGTTCAAGAATCGTGTTTAATTTTTGTTGCATGTTTCAGAAGAACCCGCCGTCCTGTCTGATTCAAAACACATGCTTTAAAAAAGAAAAAAAGATGAAGATTTGATAGGAAATAAACCCCTCCGAGAGAGATTATATATGAGAAAAAGCAAAAAAACACACAAATAAAACATATTTTGTCGAACCGACAACAGATAGGAGACATAAAGTGTGGGAAATAAACAAACCACCGCTGCTGGAATGACTCCCAGCTGCTTTCAAGAAGTTGACAACTTGTGCGTCTTGCTGGGGCCACATCGGCCACATCGTTTCCGCTTCGCCGCGGTTATTTTCCACCAACGCTCCCGCTCACAGCCGTTCATAAAAAGGAGCAGATAAGGTTTGTTTTGGCTTACCTGATAAAGACTGGATCGGCTAATAATCCTCCATGGACCGTCAGTATCCTGCGGTGGAGATGAGAAGCAGAGCGCAGCCAATCCTGAAGTCTGCAGAGGAGAAGCGGCAGCAGGCGGGCCCCTCAGCCAGAGCCCTGCATACACTGGGTTCTGCAGGCGGGCAACTCAGCCAGAGCCCTGCATCCCCTGGGTTCTGCAGGCGGGCAACTAAGCCAGAGCCCTGCAAACACTGGGTTCTGCAGGCGGGCCCCTCAGCCAGAGCCCTGCATACACTGGGTTCTGCAGGCGGGCAACTCAGCCAGAGCCCTGCGTACACTGGGTTCTGCAGGCGGGCAACTCAGCCAGAGCCCTGCATACACTAGGTTCTGCAGGCGGGCAACTCAGCCAGAGCTCTGCATACACTGGGTTCTGCACAGGGCCCCTCATCCAGAGCCCTGCATACACTGGGTTCTGCAGGCGGGCAACTCAGCCAGAGCCCTGCATACACTAGGTTCTGCAGGCGGGCAACTCAGCCAGAGCCCTGCATACACTGGGTTCTGCAGGCGGGCAACTCAGCCAGAGCCCTGCATACACTAGGTTCTGCAGGCGGGCAACTCAGCCAGAGCCCTGCATACACTGGGTTCTGCAGGCGGGCAACTCAGCCAGAGCCCTGCATACACTAGGTTCTGCAGGCGGGCAACTCAGCCAGAGCCCTGCATACACTAGGTTCTGCAGGCGGGCAACTCAGCCAGAGCTCTGCATACACTGGGTTCTGCACAGGGCCCCTCATCCAGAACCCTGCACACACTGGGTTCTGCAGGTGGGCAACTAAGCCAGAGCCCTGCATACACTGGGTTCTGCACAGGGCCCCTCATCCAGAACCCTGCACACACTGGGTTCTGCAGGTGGGCAACTAAGCCAGAGCCCTGCATACACTGGGTTCTGCAGGCGGGCAACTAAGCCAGAGCCCTGCATACACTGGGTTCTGCACAGGGCCCCTCATCCAGAACCCTGCACACACTGGGTTCTGCAGGTGGGCAACTAAGCCAGAGCCCTGCATACACTGGGGTCTGCAGGCGGGCAACTAAGCCAGAGCCCTGCATACACTGGGTTCTGCACAGGGCCCCTCAGCCAGAGCCCTGCATAAACCGGGTTCTGCAAAGGGCCCCTCATCCATAACCCTGCACACACTGGGTTCTGCAGGCAGGCCCCTCAGCCAGGGCCTTTCATACACTGGGTTGTGCACAGGGCCCCTCAGCCAGAGCCCTGCACACACTGGATTATGCATGGGGCCGGTCCAAACCTCAATAGGGTCCTAATCAGAATTAGATTTTGGAGCTCTCCCCGGAAAAAAAAATAAAATAAAATAGAAGCACAGTCAAACGTGGAGCAGATGCGAAACACAATACAAATACACATTATAGATTAACTGATCTATCTTCAAGCATCACACGACAACCATCACCAAGACTTCTATACAGCGGTTTTACTGGCTGTGGTTATAAACACGGACATGCCAGTGACTGCTGCTGTGTAACGTCCAGCAGGGTTGCCAGATGTCACTGACTCAAGTTTTCTGGCCCAAAAAATTTTCATAAACTACCTGAATATACAAAATCTTGTCCAGTTTGAACCAAAGTCTATTGATCTCTTAGTCCATAAATCTAAAGAAAAACATTTTTTACCCATAGATGGCCATCCTAAACTGCCAGCTTGGGAAACATCCCAACCTGGCAACAATGCACGTAAGACGGGAAACATTAGCCTTTAGATGCAAAACCCCATCAAGCACAGCAACATATTTTTGGAAAATATTCTGAAATAAATTCGCCAAATATAAGAGGAACATCCCTGTTTGGTTAAAAAAAAAAGCATTTTAGTTTTACTATAATTTAGTTTGTTGCAATGATTTTACAGTTTGGAGAAATAGAAAATGACACCATATGCCACCGTCACTAGGATGTGCATGACAAGGAAGGGCTATATATGCTGCATGCATCCTTTAGGTGGTTAACATTGAATCAGTTCTTAAGCTCCAAAATTATAGATGATTGCAGACAGTGCTGCAAACAGGAGGCCTCTTATTGGTCAAATCTACATCTGCTCTACTCTATGCGTATTTCCTGTTTGGTACTTTACGGGCTTGTTTTTGCTAGGACCCCAAATTTCCTCACCGCCTCGACCGTATCTAGACCCACAGCTAGTTCCTGATTGTCCCTCTTGTGTTGTGGTGCGGGATAACAGCGCAGACCTCCTTTCAATATTGAGCATAAATCAAAAATATCTGCAATAAGCTCACTGAAACACACTGCTGTGGGACGATAACCAGCCCTTCAAGTTCCAACTATTAACCTGTAGTGCAAGAACAACAAATTCATAAACTATTTTTAATAAGTTAGCTAAAAATAATACATAAAATCATACTGAAACAAGTTAAATCAAATAAACAGTGAAATATAAAGCATATTATTATCGCTGAGGTCTTTACACTGGTCATTCCGTGCTTTATTACAATCTGGCTCCAAGACCAATACCTTTATTTCATCTATAGGTGATTATTTCTAAATGGTAGGGGAGGGCATTTATCATATTTTTAATTTTACTAAGGGAATTATGATTTATCGTGTAAATGATAAATTATGATTAATTATATTTAAAATCCCCTCAAAAAATGGGTTAATTGTCAGACTTTTTAGTTTTCCTTTATTTTCCATTGGGGTATATTGACAAATTCTAATGATTAAACAAAGGGTAACTATGGATGTTTAGTGATATAAATCACATTTCTTTATGCAACTGGTGTCCTAAAAAAACCTACTCTAACTTGTATGTGTTTAAAGAGGAATAATTGTGATTGCTGTGGCATGCAGTCACATCCATACAGTTACCAAAGAAAGACTGCAAATAAGTTTTTATCTTTGCATTTATCACCACTTCCACAAAATATCATAAAAACATTTGAAGTCCATATTGCCTAACCCTACAATATTTTGATAGTTTAACAAAACAAAAAAGAAAATGTTCTTGCCGCCCGCTAGTTGCTCAAGGGTCCTTCACAGCCGCTTAGTTTGCTTCCGATTTGGCCCTGTTTGGATACATGGTGACCCTGACACACACCTCTGCTATTAAATTAATTTACTGAGCTAGGCCACAGGAAGTGGAGCTGCTACAGCACCCCCTATTGGCGAGAGGGAGATAAATAAATAAAAAAAATCTGTTAAGAATACTTTGCACAATTTATAAAGTTCTTATGAATGTCTTAGGAAATGATTTTGACTCTTTTTATTTACTATTACCAATCATTTGGAGGACTAATCAACACAAGTGCATGGAAGTTACGTTGTCATGGCAACGTCAAGCCTGCTAATGGCAGCAGGTCAGTTAATTTACTAGAAATTTTCATTTCTTTTTTAAAAACATGTTTTTTCATCACATCCATAGTTACCTGTTTGGTTCTAAGCAGTTTCCGGCAACTCTGTTGGTCCTGCCTTTGAAATCGTTTCAGTTATGTGCCAGACTACTGATGGGGGCCAAGACAAGCACTACATGGGGCCCTAACCCCTGTTGGCCCCCATCCAGAACCACAAAAACAGCAAACCTTTTGATATAGAAAAAAAGTCTAATCATTTTAGTGTATCTCTCATTATATCAGTTTTAGATCAATATAAATAGCTGTTTTTGTACATGGTAACACATCATTACTTATTTACTGAATCCCTCTAAAGTTTGCACATTTCTGATCTATTAGCATATGAATCCTTTTCCTTAAATCAAGCTGACTATGTTCATCCTCTGTCTTATGTTGTCTGTTTATAGTTTATATACTTTATGCTACAAAATGTAATCTTCTTTAACCAGGATAACTCTTTTCTCTATTATTGGTCAAGATGGTCATGCCTTTTAAGAGCCTGGGGGGAAAAAAACAAACAGCTATAATTAATCAGAGTATAATCGGAGTATAATTAGAAGATCCCACTTACTGCCTAAACTTACTTATTAACTTCTTAAATAAACACGTTCAGCTAGAATCTGAGGCATTTCAAGATCCCATTTCCGACTTCTGAGACAAAAACAGCATGACTGCCACCCTTGTGATCATGTGTGTTGCCTGAACTCTCTGTATTCATGGCTCTGGTTTTAGCCCATGCAGCTGTGCAGACTGGGTCTCCTATCCGGTCTGGAGCAGTGATGCAATGTTTCCAGATGTGGAACCAGAGAGGGAGGGGTGGGGGAGCAGCTGTGATAGCCTACTTTTAGAAACACTTTGTTATGTTACAATACAATGAGTTCGCCTTAATGTAGCAACATCAAACTATACTGAAAAATAACAATCTAAGGCTTTTTAATCCTCAAATACTTCACAGCTAAAATAGTTGGATCAAAACTTTTAACAAATTTGATTTTCAAACAGCAAATCCTATCTTCAATTATAAGGTTTCAGTGATTAATAACAGAGATATGAAAAATGAGTAGTGGACATGTGGTTTGGCATGACCACGCTCTAATCTTGTAGACTGAATATTCGTGTTTATGGCACTACCTAGTGGACAAATGGGAACATTACATGTTTATAAGACTTGGTCACAGCCAATCTCTGCAGCGCTAATTGGACAATCAGCAATCAGCCAATCAAATTGGAGCATTGGAGTATAGAAGGGATTTTTCTTTTTTCTTAAGTTGTTTGATTGGATTATGCTGTGTCAAAATCTCCTGATATGCTGTGATTTCTGTGTTTAAAAACAAACAAGTTTGCACTGATTCATTGCATAACTTTTAACCCAAGTATTTTTTTATATTTGGTTGATATTCGTCACTTGATTCACACCAAACTTCTTTAAAAACAGCGTGATTATCTTGCTTCAAAAGGGTCAGATCCGTCTTTGAATGAGTCAACTAACCTGAACTGCAACTTTAAGGCAGTCTGAGGCCAGAATCTGAGAAAAACATGGACAAGTTCAACATTTAGAGGGTGGAGACAATGGTTGTTTCATAATATTAATAGGAAAAAGACTGTAGATTTACAAAAAAAAGTTTTTGTAATACTGTTGTGCTGCATCCAAAACTGCTGCACCCTAAATGCACCAGGGAGCATTATCACAGATCCTTCCTTCCAGCAGCCGTTAGACTCTACAGGTGCTGGTCATAAAATTAGAATATCATGAAAAAGT